AATTTTCAAAATGAATTTTTTCAACCATTGGGACGGACAAAATTTGTGTTCGTCCATCCCAAAAGTATCCTATTAATACAATTTGTTCGTCCGTCCTAAAAAATGTGTCCGTCCGTTTGTCCTAATTTGAAATAGGACATTTAGACAACTGTCCGTTTGTCCTTTTTGGCAATGGGACATCAGGACAAGATGTCCGTTTGTCCTAATTTGAAATGGGACATTGGGACAAATTTCCGTTCGTCCTTTTTGGCAATGGGACATTAGGACAAGATGTCCGATTGTCCCAATTTGAAATGGGACATTGGGACAAATGTACGTTTGTCCCAAATCAATAAAAGGACGGACGGACACGAAATGTTCGTCCTCTGTCCGTCCGTTTGCCACCTCTAGTCTTCGCCGTCGACGAGTCAACGCGTCATTGACTTTCCTCTACGACGTCATCAATGGTAACGCAAACTGTCCTTCAGTTCGTGACAAAGTTTCATTTAATCAGTTGCGTACATTGAGATACAGCGAACAATTCAAGGTCAATGACAAACACATGAAGCTGGTGCGTGAGGCTCCAATTTCACAAATGTGCAAAATGGCGAACATGGTGCCGGAACAGCTACCTCAAAGGCGAATTTTGTATCATCGGTTCGTAGAATGGCGGATAATTTTTTCTTTTGGATCGCTTTGCAAACTCAAATGACTACCTGGCCGCCTAATCAATTTTTCATCCAGGTAACCTAATTTTTTGTATATGTTCTCTACGAGAACACTTTGATACTACTCACATTAATTATGGAATTACGAACTTTCATGTTACCAAAAACCCGAACCATGATCTTGACTTGGACGAATCCACCAAAGACAACGCAGCATATTGCCCGTGTACCACCCTTTAATTGGAATGCTGCTGAATAAAAGCGATATGAACGTGTCTAGGATGCCAAACTCAAACCACCCGTTCTGGATTCAACTCATCATAGCCATCAGTATCACTCAACACTAGTTTTTATTCGAAAAGACTGAAGAATTTTTTTCTTACATTCCTCCTTTATGTATAGAACCTATCTGCGATTTTTTACACCTATATATTGTAAATTAGATATTGAGGTTAAAATTTCGATTTGTTTCTATTTCATATATTTCAAGAGTATGCACAGAAAATCCGTGGATATCTATACATTAATGTGCGTAGCACATTTTTCCCAATGAGCCAAAGTGAAAGAGAAGATTGTACACGATTTAAAACATACTTCCACCCAACCGATTTGGCTCACACTTATACCAATCGAAAGGTAATGTAACGTAGATTTGCAGAAAAATAATAAACACTCAAAAATTTCAGTGCGTATGTGAGGGCGATTCAAATTAAATATATTTTGTGGGGCACTCTTTCATACAATATTTTTCGGTAACGTCACTCGCATTTATCACACAGTCCAAATTAAGTGATAAGGAGGTCGAATTTCGATTATGATAAATGATTTGTTGTTCAATTGAAATAAGAGTATTGAATGTATTGATGTTATATGCAATTTTTTCTCCATTCATTCCATGCACAATTATGAGGACCATTATGAAGGTTACTTTTACGGTTAAATCTATCCCCGTATTCAACCTTGGATATGTGCCTGGAATCGGATGTATTTGGGTTAATAATTGTTAGATGGGTAAAAAATAAACTAGCATACAATCAATGCGAGTTTATAACCGTGTAGATGATATGGACAGTTCAAAATGATTGTCAAACCAGATGTCAAAAACCGCTTCATTCGGTACATTTCTAATAATTTCTAAATATGTCTGAAAATTAATGAATATGTGTTCATATCTGTTGAATTTGTTCGAATGCAAAAAATCCATGGAATTTATTCATATCTTCAGTTTATATATGAACGTTCTCGCCCTAGATCCAAACGTTATTTTAGTTGAAATATACTCACTGATTCGATAAATAATAGTAATTGATTGTGACGATTCAAAATAATAATATATTTTTCCGACTGAACTTTAAATGCGATTTTCTCAACTATCACTTTTTCAACATTAGATCTTTCTGTACCATTCTTTTGAACTTTGTTTTTTTTTTTGTTAAAGTTAGTCGATTCAATCGGCATCGTAATACGTATTTTCAGCACTTTATAAAAAGGCTTTGTGGTATTTTAAATTTTTTCTATTTTTTATCAAAATATGGTTTATTTCAACAAATGTTTTGAAAAATGTGTAAATTTATTACAAAATAAAAAATTTTAACAATAGAAAACAAACTAAGAATGCTTAAAATTAAAACAATTTATTCCCACGTTTTTGTTCGATTTTTTTTTCATTCCAGACTTGAAAATACGTATTGCTTTGGTTTGACGAACAATGGGAGTTTAAATAATACTTAATTTTGAGAAACATTAATTATGATTTCTCTATATGTATGTACTTTTGTACTATGGAATAAAAATGATCCCTCATTTACTGAGAGATCAATTGGTGGTGTCAGAGCACAAAACTGCCATCAATCGGTTTAACAAAAATGGTGCTGTTTCGAGCGCTTAATACTATCTATCAAAATTCCTGTTTGTGGGGTTTGAGCTTCAAGTTCAGATGATGAAGATTTCGTCGCTATATGGCAACATTTACATACAGTGTTCGAAATAATTATGGCCACACCTGAATTTTTTAAAATATTTTCCAAAATAACAGAGTTTTTTTTGTTGCAGTGTGGTCTTAAGTTTTTTGAAATTGAATTTTAATCAGGGCGTGTTATGAGCTGATGTCAGCAGCACTTACTGACGTCAGTTGCTGAGCTCAGCTGCTGACGAGTATGCGTTGCGTTGTTTTAACGCATTCGCAGTACAAAATTCATATTGCTCTTTGGTTTCCAAGTCAAATTTGCATGAAGAGAACACTTACGTGCAATTTTCACCCGTACAGAGCAACAAAGCAGTCGGCTTCACCGTAGAAAAGTAGTTCGCAGTGAGGAAACAAGAACGTAAATGTTCTGAAAACGAACCGCCTCAGCAAATTTGTAGGGGATCTTGAATATTACAACTTTACCGAAGACACCAAGCCAATATCTCTAATCAGTTACGCAAAAAACCAAGAGGCAGAGCAGTACTAGAGTAATTCTTCTAGTCCAAAATAATTCTGAAATAATTCACAGTAATTCCTCAGAAACGTCAGAACAAATCAAGAGGAATTACTGTGAATTACTTAAGAATTACTTTGGACTAGAAGAATTACTCTAGTACTGCTCTGCCCCTCGAAAAAAACGCGATTTTTTTATCATTTTCTGCGGAACTGATAAGACATAAGGAGAAGGTTTTCTCAAAAATATTGTAGTACTTGATCTGCTCTACAACTTTGCTGAAAACACATACAGTCACTCACAAAATTGTCTGTACACCATATTTTTCACAGAAAAATTTAATTTTTTCATGAATTTTCGTGATAATTGAGTCATATAAGAGCATATCTAGCAGATATCAATGCGTTTATTTGATAGAAATAGTGGGCATGTCAAAAAATTTGGACCAAACATGAGTAAGACTCGTTTTTTACTATTTACAAAATTGTCTGTACACTGAAGCTTATTGGCATTTTTTCGGTGAATATACAATATTTTTACACTAAATCGAATTTAGAATGATTTTTTGAACCTCGACAATAGAATCTAGACTTTACTTATGACAAAAATAACACTCCCTATTCCAGATGGCGCCACCAATATAGTGAACTGTCGAAAATGGCCTCTTTGGCCAGTTAAAACGCCATAAAATCAAACTGGGAATATTTTTTACCACCCGAACCTCTCTGAATGCATTGAATATCTGAAAATCTTCGACACCAACGATATTGGTTCATTTTTGGGTTCAATTTGATCATTTCGATGGAAAATACTGGTTGATACCTCACCAAAAGGCCCTCTATGTACCCTGTAGTAAAAAATTTTGGCCCCATATCGGTGGCTATGGATTGGTTTTGCAACGCCACACAATTGTCTTCTAGGTTTGACTTCGTATTTTAATGATGGGTATGTTTCTTGGAGCATTTATTGCCTCATCTGTTGAATATGCTATCATTCAAAATTCACACATCAATGTAGCAACAAAACTGTAATACTGTCATGGTTTTTCCAGTCATTGAGGCTCTAGATTGAGAATATATAAACTTTAAAGCTCATTTATTAGTAGGATACACAGATCGAAGAAGAAAAATGACAACAATGCAGCTTTAGTGATACACTGTGTACAGCATTGATAGCATTATTCAACGGATGAGGCAATAAATGCTCCCAGAAACATACCCATCATTAAAATACGAAGTCAAACCTAGGAGACAATTGTGTGGCGTTGCAAGACCAATCCATAGCCACCGATATGGAGCCAAAATTTGCTACTATAGAATACATAGAGGGCCTTTTGTTGTGGTATCAACCAGTATTTTCCATCAAAATGATCAAATTGATCCCAAAAATGAACCAATATCGTTGAATAAATGGCAAATACCATACCAAGCGTCGAAGATTTTCAGATATTCAATGCATTCAGAGAGGTTCGGGTGGTAAAAAATATTCCCAGTTTGATTTTATGGCGTTTTAACTGGCCAAAGAGGCCATTTTCGACAGTTCACTATATTGGTGGCGCCATCTGGAATAGGGAGTGTTATTTTTGTCATAAGTAAAGTCCAGATTCTATTGTCGAGGTTCAAAAAATCATTCTAAATTCGATTTAGTGTAAAAATATTGTATATTCACCGAAAAAATGCCAATAAACTTCAGTGTACAGACAATTTTGTAAATAGTAAAAAACGAGTCTTACTCATGTTTGGTCCAAATTTTTTGACATGCCCACCATTTCTATCTATTAAACGCACTAATATCTGCTAGAAGAGTCAGTCTCTTAGATACATGATCTTATATGACTCAATTATCACGAAAATTCATGAAAAAATTATATTTTTCTGTGAAAAATATGGTATACAGACAATTTTGTGAGTGACTGTATATCACTTATCTCTTATCAGTTCCGTGGAAAATGAGATGGCATACATCACTTATTCCCATACAAATGCATACAAATATATAGGGGTCCAGCCAGACCCGAGGTGCACGTTCGAAGGTTTTAAAATAGGTGCGTGTACGAGGGTTAAAAACACTTCAGGGAGATTTTTGCAAAATGTATTTTTTAAATCTTTTCATATTTTTTCGATTTTCGGCACGCGAAATAATTATAGCCGCACCTTCAGTATTTTGCAAAAAATGCAATATATTGACATGCTTGTGATTTGTTTTGATATTTTTCATGGTGCTTTTTTAAAACAATTCTGTGTTTACAGAATTTTTACATTTCTTCAGACGATTTTCAAATTCTTCTTGACAATTTCGTCATTATCTCAGATGATTTTCAGACACACACAAATCTGTGCATTTTTTGGTGCTTTTATCAGTTCTTCAGACGATTTTCATCCAACAAATTACGCACACCTTTTAGAAGATTTTTGTAATTTTTTAGACGAAAAACATTTATTCCTGCTGGAAAATAATTTGAAAACTCAAGGCGACCATAACTATTTCTCGCACTGTATATGAAAATATTTATTTTTCATTAAAAATTCGACCCATTCGCCGCATTTCTATGCATTTTTCGCCGCTCTGTGAAGTTCATTGTTGTGAGCGTATGTGAGCCATTTGTTTATTGCCGCTAATTCCATAGAGCGGCGACTTTTCTGAATAGGTGGCGTCTTGTTGCAAACGTCAATGAAAAATTACATTGTATCCATACAAAGCGAGCGCCCACCGGCAGGAACTGGCTAAACGTCTGGCGGTTTTGGACCTTTAGCAAAAAACTTCTAAACGTCGACGGCATCGGATATGTATACAAAAATTGCTATTTTTTAGCTTGAGATCCTTTTGCCGCGAACATTTAGCCAGTTTTGTACTTGTCAGACGAATATTTTTCTTCTAGAATTCAATTTCATGCATTTTTACATAATAGGATTAAATCAAAACAAAGAACTTATGTGGTTCAGTAATACTATTTTATCGTTTAGTACACTGAATTTACAATAGAGTAGAATAATTATAAAATGATCAGTAGAATAAATAAAAATTGATAAGACGTCAAAAGCAACTAAATTATATGAACAAATGGAAACATTCACAAAATCCCGAAACATGGATAGCCATGGATGTTTCTATGTAATAACTCAATAATCCGAATCCAGTATTCAAAATCATTGAGTTTCAGAAGAATGCAATAAGTTTTAAGACACTGTAACGAATTTGAATCGATAAACGTAGGAATAATATGTTTCATACGGGTACAAAAAAGTGACCAACAGTCACTCAGTTGTATGTAGCTGCAACTGGCTAAGTTGATTGAATTCAAAAATGTCGTATAAAAATACTATCTTTTTGTTATTCTTTCAGCCAGTCGTCTAATTTCGGACTTTTTGGCTACTAGATGACTACATTCGAATATTTTGTTTGAGATAATAACTTTTAGTCAGTAATAGTCAGCCAAAAAGTCCGAAATTAAGCGGCTGGCTAGTCAGTCACAAATTTTTCACATGGGGTATCCATATTTTCGAGTAAGTAGTGTATATGTATGTGTAATATTAAATTAACATGTACAAACTTAAGCTGCCACTATCATTTCGAGCACATAAAGTATTTGTTGAATAATTACCCCTACTATTATCGCCAGTACTAGATTCTATGTTGGATACACAAAGGTTCATTTCCGAATTTAGTGAACCTCCACAACCTAGAAACCATTCTGAACGAGTGCGCATCCTTGCTGTCTGTAATGGAAATTTAAATATTTCGTCAATGCGCGCGAGAAAGCAATTAAAGATATTACTGACCTGCCTTTCATGTACCTAATCAGCCATGAAATGTTTTGATGAAATTTCGCAGACGATGCAACCCGCAGATTTTTTCCATTTTTATAAGAAATCATATTTTCCAATATGCATTTAGGTTGAATTTGAACGTTTGAGGATGTTGAGATATACGTTAGCATATTTAAAAAGAATAGAAAGCATAGAATAAACACTTATTTCATTCATCTTGTATGAAAACTACATTCTGCTAAGCGCAAAAAGATTCTTTATAATATTTAACCAAAAATATTGAGTTGCAAAATAAAATGAAATTGATAGAATAATTTAGTTCTTTCATTAGTAATATGGGATTTTGATCGCTAGTCGTTTGAATGTTATGAGCAGGGAATGGTTTCACATAAATTTATTTATATAAATTTCGGCTCAACTTTACTTTGCAGAACTTTTTGGAATATGAATATTTTTTTGATACCAGGATTTATTTTGTTCCTTTTTAGCACATGAACATTAGTGCCGTAAAGTCATACTAAATTACTCAAGTATTTTAGATAATGCTACTTTTTGACTCTACAATGTTAGAATCGCAACGATTCAATTGCTTTAATTTGCTCAATTCGGCGAGCGAATACTACGAGCAAATACTCAGTGAAAATTCCGAAACGTATCGTATGGAGTAAATGCCAATTTTTTCTCTCTTTCAACACTCATTCGAAGCGAAGAAGAAGAGGAAAAATTTGCATCTTTCCTATGCCGGGAGTAGAACCACGGACCTTCTGATTGCCGGTCAGATACTCTATCCATTGAGCTACACTACAATAAATCCTGGTATAATCACCTTAAAAGGTAAAAATGCGCTCAACTGAAAATTGCAATAATGTTCGTATGGGGGTCTGTGTAGCTATTTTATCTTATTAAGATTTATTTCAGAAAATCAACAAAATATCTTATCTTTATTTAATTTTTTACATTATCCCATCTTTTTTGAAGATAAATTGAATGTCCGAGAATGAAAACGCAACTTCTATTCACAACACATATAAGTGAAACAAAAATAAAAAAATTTATTGAAATGAAACAACACAATCGAATTTTTTCAAAGTGTAAAAACAAAAAAGATTTTTTTAAAGTGTAACATCGGTATGTAGTAAGTGTAACAACATACCGATGTTACACTTTAAAAAAAT